GGGAGCCCGATGTGGGACTCGATCCCGGGACTCCAGGATCATGACCTGAGCCGAAGGCAGTCGCTTAACCAACTGAGCCACCCAGGCGCCCCTGAAGGGTATTTTTTAAATGGTAAATATGTATGTGTGTGTGTATATAAGTTTAAAAAAGCAAATATCTGTAGTATCCTACCCATTGTGTAAGAAAGAAGGAGATATTAAAAAAAAAGCATGTCTGCTCATCTGTTCAGAAGAAATATGTAAAGGATAAACTAGAAAATAAATACAATGGTGACCTACAGAGGATGAGTGGATAAGGGATATAAAGAAGGGTGGAATTAAGTAAGGATGAGAAAGAAACAATACTTCTCTTAGTATATTTTCATTAAGTCTGACTCTTAGAGAACCATGGTAATAGTAATATTTTACATAGCACCCAAAATAAACAGTTCCTTTTTGTGAGTGGAATTAAAAGGGAATACAAACAGTAATAAATGAACCTAACTGTATTATGAATGAATAATGTAACCACATTGAAGAGAATGTGAAAGAAAAAACCTAACCTAAGTAAATTTCAGTAAACAGTATTTTGACTGTACATTATGAGGCTAAAAACAAAAATTACTGTACTATTCTTTTGTTTGTACAGGGGTATGGGTTTGTAATTCTGTAACTATTGTACGTGTATGTGAGGATTGAACAAACAAGTCAATATAGATCATTAGAGACAGATTTTTCGCTGAGAAAGGAGTTACAAATAAGGAAAGTGGAGAAGCTACAATGAGCTGTATTAGAATTTGAGGTATCAGGATAGACTCATGGGTTTTATATATATATCCTGATAGATATAGAAATATATATATGTGTATGTATGTGTAGATATACATACATAGGTCTCCTAGCTTTGTGTGCTGAGAGGGCCTGCAAGGAGTGATACCCTGGTAGGCATGAATATACCCAGAAACCAGATATTGGTTTCTGAACACCACTTTTCATGAAAGGAACCAGGGCTTCTTGAAGAAGCAGTTGATTCCAGTGCTGGGGCAAGACATGATGAAGCTGGAACATTTAGTGGTGCCAGAAATAAGGAAGTGCTGAGAAAAAGGATGAAGGCATGTCAAAAGGATGTATGAACCAACTTGAAGAAGCTCCTAGTAGCAAAACCTAGAACAACTTGAATAGCAGAATAAATAATGATAGTAGTGGATTGTGATCCATAGAATAAACTGAATACCCAAGAGTCCATACTGAAATAAATAAAAATTGAATAAATAAATGAGTGTGAAGGGACAGCTCTTTCTTACAGAATAATTCTAATTAATAAAGTGTAGAAGGAATGAAGAAAATAGAAACCTGTGAGGCAAACACCACAGGAATAATTGTTGCAAGGAAGATCTACCAATGGATGCTAAAATCAGTGTGTATAAGTTTTACTTGAAGCAGGATATTTTCATAATCTCAAAGTATCCTACCCAGGATATTTATCAGTTATAAAGAGAAACACAGTAACTTTACAGTGGAGAAAACTGGCATTCACCAACTTAACCAAGTGATCAAGGTAAGCATCACCAATACTAAGGGTTGTGGACATCATGTACCCCTCCCAACATAATGCACTGAGAAGGACGCAGCATCACTTCTATGATGTTCTTGCCCCCCAAACATGTATAATTTCTGTTTAATAATGAGAAAACGTCAGACAAACCCACACTGAGGAACATTCTGCAAAAGAATGACCAGTACTCGTCAAAAATATCAAGGTCATGAAAGACAAGACTGAGGAACTGTTTCAGATTGGAGGAGAGTAAATAAATACATCGATGAAGTGCAGTGTGGAATCCTGAATTGGATACTAGGACAGAAAAAAAGGACATAAGGAGAAAAACTGGTAGATAATGAAAAAGGTCTGTAGTTTAATCAATAGTATTGCACAAATGTTAATCTCCTGGCCACTGAATATTAAATACTTGACCTTCACATCAAAAACAAAGCAAGGATGTATGCTGTTTCTGCTTTTATTCCATATGGTACTAGAGTTCTTAGAGAGTGCAATAAAGCAAGAAAAATAAAATAATTAAGATTGGAAAGGAAGAATAAAAACTGTATTTATGAATGAGCATGATTGACCACTTAGAAAACCATACAAAAATTAAGTGAACTTAGTAATGTCACAGAATAAAAGGACAGCAAACAGAAACCTATTATATTTTTTGTATGCTAGCAACAAACAAGTGGAAAATTTAAAACTTCTGCTCTTCAGAGGATACCATTAAGAAAATGACAAGGCAAGCCGCAGACTAGGAGAAAATATTAATAATACTTCTCTGATAATGGATTTGTATTCCAAATATATCAAGAATTCCCACAACTCAGGAAAAAGGAGACAATAAAAAATGGGAAGACTCAACAAGGACTTTGCAAAAGATTTAAGAATGGACAACAAAGATGTGAAGAGAATGCCACATCTGATATTATCAAGTGTTGGCACAGATATGGACCACTGGACCCCTCAAATATTACTGATAGGAATGTAAAATGACAGCTACTTTGGAAATCAGTTTGGCATTTCTTAGAAAGTTAAACATATGTTACCATATGACCCAGCATTTCCACTCCTAAATAAGATGGGCAAAGCTAGTATGAGGTGAAAAAAAATCAGATCAATGGTTGCCTGGAGCTAAGACAGGGAATGGGGAGAGAGGGACTACAGAGGAGCCCAAGGGGGCAATAGAAATGTTCTATATCTTGAATGAAGTTATCTGGGTATACATACTTCAAAACTCATTAAACTGTGCACTTAAAATGAGTGCTTCTTGTAGGTAAATTAGACTTTAATAGGGTTGCTTTTAATTAAGGTAAAAAAAATAATGATCAGAGTTAATGTTTATTGAATATTTACCTTAAGTGCTTTCCATATTCTGCATCATCTTACTGAATTCTCAAAACCACTTTATTAGGTAGGACTTTATTATCCCCATTTTTCAGCTGAGGAAACAGATAGAGATCCCAGTAAAGAACAAGAATTTGAACCCAGACCACCTGACTGCACAACCCGTGCCCTTGACCACTGTGCTACAGGGCTAGAACATCAGGTATCTCTCCCCTGATATTAATAAAGCTCATCCTCAGGACATGCTAACCAAGCTCTCTCTTTGGAGCAGCCAAAATAAGTGAGTGTGGACCCGGGAAATGAGGGGAGGAACCACAGGAAGAGGTGGCCTGGGGTAGAATGGCATTCATCCAAGCCTGGACTCTTGCTCCCGCATTGGAATCACCTGGTGCCTGGTCCTTGCCTCACCCTAGACTGACCCAATCAGCGTCTCTGGGGTGGGCCTGAGAATCTGCATTGTATTAAGCCACCACCCGCATGTCTGCCCCAGTGAGAACAATAGAGACAGGACTGTGCAGAGGGAAGTCTGGGTTTAAATCCTGACCCCTCCTGACCCTTTCTTACCTCTCCGCGCCTCAACTGGCTCATTCCCACCATGGGCATCATAATAGTACAAACCGCGTAGGGTGGCTGGGAGATTCCCGTGATTTGAGGGAGAATTAGGCGTAGCACCTAGCGCAAAGGAGGCACTAGATATATGATGGATTAAAATAACACTTGAACGAGGGACTGAGCTGCACCCAGCACCTCTCTCTCTCTCCTTCCTCTCTAGGCCCCGGCCTGGCCTTTATCGCTTACCCCAAGGCGGTCACCATGATGCCTCTCTCCCCACTGTGGGCCACCTTGTTCTTCATGATGCTCATCTTCCTGGGCCTGGACAGCCAGGTAAGGGGGGACCCCAGGCTGGGATGGCAGGGAGACCAGATGCTACTCTTCGGAGCAGCTCAGGGGACTTACCAGCACCTTGGTGCTGGTTGTCAGGGCCCTGCCCACTGTCCCCACCCTGCTCTCCTCTCAGCAGGCCGTGATCTCCACCATCACCCCCAGACACCCCTGTATGGCTCCTTCCACATCTTCCCAAATACACTTTTCCTTACCTGGAATTCCCAACTCCCAATCTAAGTTTTTAAAAAATTGTTAACTACTTGCATTCATATTTCTGCCTGATAGCACCACCTAGCAAGCTGAAGAAATTCTCAGAGATAGGGCTATGGTTAATGGTATCCAAGGCTCTACCACCACGTGTCCCTGTCCCTGCCAAATCGTGGGGGACACAGGAGCACAGAAAAGTACCTTCTCCTTCCTTCCTCCATCTCTGTTATGGCCCCCCTGACATGCTCCAGGTGGCCACATGGGTCCTCGGCACCACCATCAGCTCCCAATGCCCCTCGTCCCACCCGCCTGCTCTCTCATTGTTGCTGATAGGGCTCTCCCCACCCACCCTCCACTTGGCAGCCTGCCTTCCTCAGTGAAGGCTGTATAGTTAGAACTAGCAATTTATCTGTGCACATTTTCCTTTATCTCCCCGTGAATGCACGCACTTCATCTTCTCACACTGTAAAACACACCGCAGCCTGCCCTCCCAGCCCTCCTCCAGTCCTCTTCTTGATTTTCCAGCCAGAATCCCGGTGGCTTCCAGTCACTCTCCACTCTCTGAAATCTACCCTTTTTCCTGCTGTTCTAGCGTGGCGGGTTTCCTTAAGAGCCCCAGTGAACATCTACCTAGAGCCAGCGGCTCTGCTATCAGACTCCGTTGGCAAGGTGCTGTCCTCTACCCATGACCTTGTGCAAGTTGCTTAGCACCCCAGCCTCATGGCCAGTGTGTCTGTCAACCCAGCCAAGTCCAATTTTTCCCCCGGATGATTTCTCAGAAATTGCTAAGCCGAGCTGCTGAAGCACCGGGTGTTTCTGCTGATAATCTTCCCTTCCAGTGTTGCGGGCAGAGGCCTCGGGAGGGATTGGCAGCTCGTGCGTGACAGTGACTGTCCTGCAGAGGGAGGTGGGGGCTGGGGCCTTGGCTCTCTGGGTCCCTGGGGGTGTTGAGCGGAGCCAGCACTTGGGCTGAGATGCTGAGTTAGCAAGGGGGACCTGGGGGCCTAGTGGGCAGATGGCAGCTCTGCTTACCCCCGTGTGCGCTGCCCTTGCCGTGCCTGGGCCACACCCTCCATTCTCTGTCACAATAACCACATGGACTGGGGGGGGCCCCTTTTGTCATCCCCATTTTGCAGATGAAGAAACTGAGGCTGAATGAGTTGCTGGAACATGTACCCAGGTTTTTGTGCCTCTTAGTCCACATGCTCTGATGTCTCTTCAGTTTGGGTCCTGGATAAACAGCCTTCCCTGAATTGCATCTTCTTCCTTCCCTGAGGACCCTGGAGAAAGGAAGACTGCAGCCAGCCTTTCGGTAGAGGCAGGGTAGCTCGGAGGCTAGGAACCTGGGCTTTGGAGTCAGACAGGGCTGGGTTTGAGTCCCAGGTCCATGACTTTTACCAGCCGTGTTGCTCTGGACTAGTCACTTCACCTCTCTGTGCTTGGTCCCTTTGTCTGCCAGTGAAGCTGGAAATACCTTTCCTGAGGAGGTAGAAATGAATTGGAAAGGATTTGGGGCCAAAAAATGGCTCCAGGGAAGGGAGTGTCTCCACATGGTAACCAGCAAAGGAATCCTTTACTTCTTTTACTTCCCTCCAGTCTTGGCGGTCCAGCACAGTGGTTAAAGCCCAGTCTCTAGAAAGATTGGTTCCTACCCAGGCCATATCACTGAACACCCCTGTGCCCTCGGGCAGGTGGCTTACCTCCAATGCTTCCACTCCTCACAAACAGGGATACTAATTGGATTATAGAGATTAAATTAATCTGTTAACTGCTTAGAAAAGAGTCTGGCTCACAACAAGCACCATGTATTTGCCATTATTTATTATTATTTTTATTAATTTATGAAACCTTTTCTGAGCATCTCCTCTGTGCCACTGGGGATAGGTGAAAATGGCATCACCCCTGCCCTCTAGGATCCCACCTTGTAAGGACATAGATATAAGCTCCATGGGCACCATGAGGTGAGGCAGGGTGGCCTGGGTGTAGAGGAGAGGAAAGGTCTGTTCTGCCCAAGCTGGGGGCAAGGACGAGCAGTCAGGAAAAGGCCTATACAGGAGATCTGCCCACAGTGCTGGGAGAACCCAGGGAGGGGGCTGATGGGTGTGTTGGGATATTTGGGCTGGGTGTTGATGGGTGAGTAGGAATAGAATGGATACGGTGTGTCTGGCCCAGTCTCAGCATGGTGGGATGCAGACACTTGGTGGCTCAGGCTCTGCTGTCTTAAGCCTGCTCACTCCGGCCCAGCCCACCGAGTCCCATAGCAGAAACATCAGAGCTGGGTGCTGGCTCACCTCCGATTGCTCTCCACCCATCAGAGGGGGTGCTTGCTCAGCAGAAGCAAAGGGCGGGAGAACTCTCACAGTCCTAGAGAATGAGGAACTCAAGCCCTGCTCACAGAGACTGACCAGAGCCTGCCACTAGCCGAGCACTCAGCTCTCAGGACAGTTGCAGAGCCTCCCATCTTGCCTCCCAGACAGCGTCTCCTTTAAGTTGTTGACCCCAGAACAGGGCCCAGCACATAGGCACATGACAGGAAGCATGGGGGAGAAGGAGTACTAGCTTTCAAGTTAGGAGACCCCAGTTGAAGTCCTGACTCTGCTACTTCCTCGCTGAGTGACCTTGGGCAGGTTACTTCCCCTCACTGAGCCTCAGTGTTCTCATCTGTTACCTGGGTTTGCTGGAGTTCTGTAAGTACCAGGACTGTTGTTCTTCTCAGGCCTTCTGTCAGTGTGAGTGTGGAAAGGAAGGTAAGGCCCAGTGGGGGGGAAGCCCAGGGCTTAGGCCTATTGCACTTGTCCAGAGCTGAGGCCACTAAGAACAGACTTTCTCTCGGGCTTGACACTGTCCTATCTGCCATGTGCAGTTTGTGTGCGTGGAAAGCCTCGTGACTGCTGTGGTGGACATGTACCCCAAGGTCTTCCGGAGGGGCTACCGGCGGGAGCTGCTCATCATGGCTCTATCCATCATCTCCTATTTTCTGGGCCTCGTGATGCTCACGGAGGTGAGTGACATGGAAACAACTAAGCGACGTGAACACGGTAACGGGAAGGTTAAGTGCCTGGGCTCTCGGTTAGGCAGGTCTGATGTCAAATCCCAGCTCTGGGATCGGTCGTGTGACCCCGGCCAGGTCTAGTATTTCTCTAGGACTCGTTTTCTCCTCTTTGCGAATATCATTGGAAGTTCTCATTGAGCCCTGAGCACAATGTCTTCACATGTGTGAATGCTCAGCTCACGGTCACCATGGTCACTACCAGAGGGGAGTAAAACTCACGAAGAGAAAGACTGGGGTTATCTGGTAGTCATCCACCCTTACAGTACTTCTGGGTGAAAGGGACAGTGTCAGCTATGGACCCCTCACCCAGGTACTGCTCTTGGCCTAAAGTTCAGAGCAGGCTTTTCTGGAATATCACTGAGAAGAGACATGCATGAAGACATCTGGCACCTCAGGCACTGTGTGTCTGAACCCCAGCCCTGTCTCTGCTGGACCTGTGAGTGAAGAGGGTTTCACCATGACCCCCCCCATTAAGACTCATGACACCATGTTTCTCTCCCCTCCTGCAGCCATCTGTCTAATAAATACTTTTTCAAGTACCTTGGGAAAGTGAAATTAGATATCTTTCTCCCCACACTGATAAAATTAATTAATTTAAAAAAACAGAAAACTGTTGCCCAACAAGAAGAGGTTTTACAAGAAACATGGAAAGAAATGAGGGAACTCCAATCCATTGAAGCAGCTGAGGTGATATTGAGGTTGGTCTATGGATCCTCTTCATCCTCTGCTTCTCAGCTCAGAGGCTGTCTCCTGGAAGGCTCCTCTGCTTTCTTTCCTCAAGCACTTTGTTCCAGGCTCAGCCCAGCCTTTCTCCCACCTTAGAATGAACGCTCAGTTCACCTGTCTCTCCCCACACCAGGCTCCGAGGTCCATGAAGACAGGAGCTGGCCTTGCCCGGCTCTGTGCCCTTGGGTCCTGGCAGAGAGTAGACACTCAGGGCGTGGTGGCTGGTGTTATTACTGCTCCTAGTCATTGTCACATTAATGGGAGTGATAATCAGCTTTGAGCAAATGAATGGTGTGGCACTTCCAGTTTCCATCTCTCCACTCCCCACACAGGGAAACCAGCCCTGAACTGAGCAGGGCTTCATTAAGTGCTGATTAATTACACGAAGTAGAGTCTTTGTCACATAGAAATTGGGGGGTTAATGTGACATGTTAATGAGGCTAATGGGAACAGGGCTCCAAGAAGAGCAGGCATTGGTATGGGTGTCCCTGGCTTGGAGCAGGCAGGCAGAGGACCCTCCAGGACCTCCAGCCCTGGGTGCCCCCCCATGTTGCAGAGCCTCCATGCCCACCCTTCAACCTGAGGCCATGGGTCTGCCCAGGGGTGCCTTGTGGCTCCTGGGGCCCATCAGGGAAATGCACTGTGCTGACCATTAATCAGCAGACACTTGGGCTTCACATGCCAACCTTCTGCCTCCATGCAGGAATATCTGTGAGTGATTGCACCAGAGAAGTTAAAATTGCCAAATGGGCCATGTCGGCCTCAGCCTTCACAGTAATTGCTGGCAGGATCTTCTCCCTCATTTATATACATTTAAAGCTCGGCTTTGGGGAAAAAATAGGCCACAGATTTTTTATCTTCCACCACGGCAGTGTGGTAGAGAATTAAGAGCCTGGGCTATGCAGCCAGACCACCCGAGATTGAATCCTCAGTCCCACGACTGGCTATCCGGATGACCTGCGGCAAGTTTTCTCACTGCTCTGTGCCTCGGTTTCCCCTATGAATACTGAGGACAGCAGTTATGCCTGCCTTGTTTATACGCGCTGTAAGGATCAAGCAGACTAAGACATGGGAAGTAGTTCAATCAGAGCCTGGTACTTGGAGAGGGCTACATATGTATACATGATGTTCATGGAAGGAGACACTCATGGAAGGAGATGTTCATGGAAGGAGACACATGTTCCTCAGGAGAGCAGTTAGGAGCATCGTCTGAGCTTTTAACTCAGAAAGCCAAGCACATTCCTAGTCACAGAGAAGCCTCAGACCTGCTCCTTACTCTCACAGCCCTGAATATCCACCACATCCAGCACCAACAGGAGGCCCTAGACCAGATATGTCCCATAGATCCCCTTTGTTTCACCCCCACTGTGTTTTTAAGAACGTGGAGAGGTTACCAACAGTTAAGAAGAGAAAGACTTCTCGTGAAGATCTGGATTTCTGGCATCTTCTAGAAAAATCTGCAGATCTGGCTGCACCCAGGCGTGCCTCCCCCAGCAACTTTCAGCCGGCATTCTGTGGCCACGTGGGGCCTGTGCTGGCCAGTTAGCGCCAGCCCCACCACTTCCTGGTGTCACACACCGGGCCCACCTCTTTCCCTCGTGTTATCTGTCTGGCCCTCTGGGCATCGAGATGCTACCCCAGATCCAGCTGAAGACATGAGTGAGGAAACAAACAGTCCCAGCCTATGTGTGGTCTCAGAGGGTAGAAAGAGGCCCTGGAGGCCATGGGAGCACAGGCTGGAAGCTTAATTCCGAGTACGTCCCTGTGGCAGACACAGGAGGCTGTCCAGGCTTTGTCCTGGACTCTTACCTCCCTGTCCTGGCATTCAAATGCCTCCTCCAACCTGACCCTCCTCCCCTTTTCCACTTTTATTTCTCCTGCTGTTGATTGTGTCCCCCTCAGGGTTGTCATGTGTTGTAAGATTTCCTATAGAGATCCCAACCTTTCTGAGGGCTGCAGCTAGCTGCCTGCCCAGATGCCATCCCTCCTTTTTAGAAACCTTCCTGGGTCACCTGGGCCAGCTAAGCTTATAACTCCCAGGCCTTCTCCTCCCACACTGGCAGGAGATACAAAGAGAACTGGTGTGGGGGCCTCCCCAGCAGAAGCCCAGAGCTAACAGAACAGCTGATGGGAAAACTTTTTTAAAAAACTGTGAATCCATAAAATGTGCTGCAGAGGCCTAAAGAGAAGATAAGGCTGTCAAAAAGGCTTCTTGGAGGAGGTCACATTTGAGCTGAGCTGTGAAGGAACTTACCAAGTAAAGAAGGAACAGCACGTGCAAAGGCACAGAGAGGAGACTATCCCTTAGTCTGTCAGAGGGAAGCATGTGAAGATTGGCTGGGAGGAAGGAGAGACAAGGCCAAGTGAGAGGGTCACTCTGACTGGCAAGCTTACGGGAGCCAAGGGGTAATGTTAAACTGTGGAGAGACATGATTGGATTTGCATAGTAGAAAGGTCCTAGTGAAAGCCTATGTTTGGGGAAGGGGGTGAGGCTCGAGGCAAGGAGGCCAGTGGGGATGCTGTTAGAACCATCAGGGAAAGGGGCTGAGGCCGCCCGACCTCAGTCTCTGATTTTCTGTGTTGTCTCCAGCCTTTGGAAGGAAAAAACAAGACAAACCTTCCCAAGCCCAGCAACCCCAGAGGGTGCTACCTTAGGGGGGGCCCAGGTGCAGAGGGTGTGGCGTTTGGGGAGACTAGGAAGAAGCAGTCTGCTCTGGTGGATGTGACTCCTGGCTGATGGTAGCCACAGGGCCAAGCAGAGGGCCTTTCGAAGGCCAGCTGTCCGACCCTGCTCTCCCGTGTGTCTTTGCATCCCTCTGTCCACATGTATGTCCTCCCGCTGCACAGGGCGGCATGTACATCTTCCAGCTCTTCGACTCCTATGCAGCCAGTGGAATGTGCCTTCTCTTTGTGGCCATCTTTGAGTGCGTCTGCATTGGCTGGGTGTATGGTAAGTAGAGGCTGGACATACCTGCGCCCAAGCAGCCTGTCATGGTGCCCAGCATATGGACGCCTGTGGCCTGGGTAGGCTCAGGTTCTCTGCGTTGGTCTCCACCTATATCCACCTCTTCCTCCTTTCCTTCAGGGGCTCGGCCTTTCACACTTGTCAGGAGAGCTTCTTGTTCTTATACTCCTGCGGCACAGGGACACAGGGAGGGGTTCCAGACTCAGGCACTGTGACCTTGGGCCAGTGCCTCTGCCTTTGAGCCTCAGTTTTTCCATCTGTAAAATGGGATAGTCCTCACCATGTCTCCAAGTAGGAGATAGTGTGGGCAAAGCAGCCAGCATGGTGCCTGACCCTCATTCAGCACCTGCCTTCTGGTCCTCCTATTTCCTAAACCGAATGAGTGGATGAGGATTGCTGGACTCAGTGATGATGGATATTCCCACTGTGAGCCTAGCTTGGGAACAGGCCGCCCTGCGGGCTGCCCCACTCATTAGCAGCCCAGCCAGGCTGTCCCCTTCAGAGCCTTGCCCCTGCCCCATGTATGTCAGCCAGGCCTTGGCCCTGCCTCTCAAAGGGACCATCTTCCACCTTTCTCCCAGAAATGTTTCCTACTCACTGTTTCCTGGGCCTCACTGACCAAGGTCAGAAAGGGTGTTCCCAGCATCGGACCAGAATTCCTTCTCCTGCAGTATATTCTGAAAGCTCACATATGTAACATCTTGGTAGTTGTTAAGTGGTAAATAAGGTCCCTGCCATCATTTGTCTGTCGGGCTGGGGAAAGCAAACACTCCTAGCCTTCCCTCTGGAGTCTTGTACAAAAATTCTCTGGGGTGTGTGCCTGTCTGTTTTATTCTGGACAGGAAGCAATCGCTTCTACGATAACATCGAAGACATGATTGGCTACCGGCCATTGTCGCTCATTAAATGGTGCTGGAAGGTTGTGACCCCCGGGATCTGTGCGGTAAGGGCCCTGCCAGAAGCTGCCTCCAGCCCACTCACCCACTTTCCCCTTCTAGCACCACAAGCCTGGCCGAGGCTGAAACTGAGGACGTGCTGACCCCCTGGGAGACCCTCTGTGCATCCAGAGAGCCCAAGGCACCTAACAGCTTTCTAAGTGGGAGTCATGGGGACAGTTTCTGGGCTTGGCCAGGGAGGGGCCTCACTGGGAACCCAGCTGTGCCACCGCCTTGCTGTGTGACCATAAGCAAGTCCCCTCCCTTCTCAAAGCCTCAGATTCTATACCTGCAAGCTAAGTGGCTGGGGCTTGTCTCCATGAGGGCCAAGGATCCTATGAGAGACAACGTTTAGCTTTGCTGTTAACAGAGAAAGCCACAGAACTGAGGTAAAATTGGGGCTCATTGCTCTGCCCCTCAAGCCACACCTTGGAGAGGAATTTGTGTTTAATATACATAACCCCATTGCTCTTCACCCAGTTCTTGGCATTGAAAATGTCTCAGAGCATCTTCACAAACCATCGTGGTTCTGCAAAGTCCACTTTGAAAGAAGCCCCGAGAAGGAGCTAGAAAATTCCCAACTGGGCAGAGGCTGGGGATAAGGCTTCTGGGGCAGGAAGGGTCTCACAGCCCTGATGTGGTGCTGGGATCTGTGGGAGTCCATTCCCTGTGTGAGCCGGCACAGGGCCTCACCTGTCCAGGGCTGTCACATGCGGTGGCCCCTACCCTCACTGGTTTCCTGCATGCGGGCCTGTGCCTGGGCCCGTCGCCGAAGGCTGGCCCCCAGGGACTTCTCCCCGTCTCTCGGCAGGGCATCTTTATCTTCTTCCTTGTCAAGTACAAGCCTCTCAAGTACAACAACATCTATACCTACCCCACCTGGGGCTACAGCATCGGCTGGCTCATGGCCCTGTCCTCCATGCTCTGCATCCCACTCTGGATCTTCATCAAGCTGTGGAAGACCGAGGGGACGCTGCCTGAGGTGAGACAGCCCAGGTGGGGGGGGGGCGGGGGGGCGGGTTGGCAAGGACGGCTCTGAAGGCGCTGAGGCACATGCGGGGTCTGGCTCTGCCTCGGGTGGGCTGAGGAGCAGGAACAAGTCCATGGGTCTTATCTGAGCACTGGGTGTGAAGAATGAGCCCCACGTGTCCCCTGGGGAAGCCACGGCCAGCTCCTCTCTGGCAGGTGTTCATTGTTACCATTGTGTGACATCATCTCTGTGAGGCCTGGAGGGTGAGCCAGTTTCTCTGAGTGTCCTCATCTGTAAAATGAGGACAACAGCAGTTCCTGACCTACAGAGGTTTTTATAAGGACTCAATGAGTTCATAGAGGGAAAGGACTTAGACTGGGACCTGGAACAGAGTGACAAAGCGTTAGCTTTTACTGTTCTGTTAGTTCACAAAGGACCCCATCCCCAGGACAAAGGGAGGGGTCTGACGTTGGGGGAACATCTATCCCACGTCATCACCGTGCTAGACTCTCTACATGTATCTCCCTTAGTCCTCTGAGCAAACCAGGGTGCTGGCCTCATTTTCTGCCTTCAATAGGTAGACCAACTGAAGCTCAGAGCAATGAAATCGCTCAACCAAAAATTAGCATCACACAGCCAAAACTTAGCAAACTAAATTTTTAGAATTAAGATATAATTGACATATAACATTATATTAGTTTTAGGTAACAACATAGTGGTCTAATATTTGTATGTCTAGTTAATATCCCTCACCACAGTTACGGATTCTTTTCATGTGATGAGAACTCTTAAGATCTATTATCTTAGCAACTTTCAAATATACGCTACAGTATTATTACCTATAGTCACCATGTTGTGCATTACATTGCCATGACTTATTTATTTTATAACTGGAAGTTGTACGTTTTGGCCCCCTTCACCCATTTCACCCCCCATCCCTCCACCCACCTCTGGCAACCACCAGTCTGTTCTTTGTACTTTGAGCTCGGGTAGGTTTTCTTTGTTGTTTGTTTGTTGGGTTTTTGTTTGGTTTTGGTTTTTTGGGTTTTTTTAGGTCTCACATATAAGTGAGATCATACAGTATTTGTCCTTGTCTGGCTTATCTCACTTAGCGTAATGCCCTCAAGGTCCATCCATGTTGTCACAAACAGGATTTCCTTCTTTTTTATGGCTGAGTCATATTCCATTGTGTATACCTACCATAACTTCTTTATCCCTTCATCCACTGATGGACACTAAGGCTGTTTCCATGCCTTGGCTGTTGTAAATAATACTGCAGTGAACACTGGTGGGGGGGTGTACATACCTTGTCAAGTTAGTATATTTCTTTCCTTCAGATAAATACCAGAGTGGAATTGCTGGATCATATGGTAGTTCTATTTTTAATTTTTTGAAGAAACTTTATACTAATTTCCATAGGTGATGCCAAATTTTTTAAAAACAATTTTATTAAAGTATGTTTTATGTATCCTAAGATTCACCCATTTCTGGTATACAATTCAGTGATTTTTGCAGTAACTTTCTGTGTTCTGTGTTCTGTGTATTATAAACATCACCATGAATCAGCTTGAAAACATGTCCATCACCCTTTTAAGACTTCTCATGCCCATTCACAGTTTACCCCGTTCCTGCCCCAGACACCACCCATCTCCTTTCTGTCTCCATGGATTTGCCTGCTCCGGACATTTCCCGTCAGCAGCGCCCTATGTGGTCCCTTGGTGGCTGGCAGAGTTATAAGCCGCACCATCCTACTCTAGAGCATTCGCTGGCTCTACTCTCCTTTCTCACCTGCTGGCACATCAGATGGTTTGAGTCAGTTTCTCACTCATTTAGCAAACTGCTGTGTGCCAGAAACTGTTCTGTTTACACACATTACGCCATTTAATCCTCATAGCGGTCCCGTGACGTGGAGGCTCTTATTGCCCCTACTTCACAGATGAGGAAGCTGAAGCATAAAGAAGCGAAGCAACTTGTCCAAGAGCATACAGCCTCAGAGTGGCAGAGCAGAAGCTCTGAGCTCTCATCACCTGAGTTTCGCTGTCTCCGTCCTCTGCTAGGACTGGCCACCCTCCATTGCGGGGCCCTGTCTCTGCTCCACTGCCACCCTCCAGAGATCTCAGGGGTTCACCTTTCTGTCCCAGAACAAGGTCAAATGGAGATGGGAGTAGATGTGTGTGCAAACATCCAAATGTGAGTGCCAGCTCAGAGTCGGCTTCACCCAGCCCGCCTGCCCACTGGAGGGCCTCAGCTCCAGAAAAAGGCTACATAGCCAGTCAGAAGGACCAAGCTGAGAGGGAAGGTCTCTTTCTCAAGCCTGCTCATGCCCCCTGAGAAGGTTTCCTTGGCTCCCGCAGGGAATGTAGGTCAAGGGCAGTTGGTTAGTTCTGATCTGGAACCAAACCATGTCCTTGGTCCCTGCAGGCCCCTCCCGCTGCGTGCCTTTGGTATTCAGGAGTGCCCAGTATCCCCTTGTGAATCCTCCAGAGATTAGCTCAGGCCTGGCATGGAGGGGGAGAGGGTGGGCAGGTGGAAGGAGAAGCTACTTTCCTGAGCTTTTTCCATCTCCCTAAGCTCACGCACCTGCCTCCACAGAAAGCAAGGTTTATTAACGACAGCAGAACTGATTTCCAGGCCTTCCTTACTGAGGAAACGTGTGCCAGTTAGTTCACCTCCCTCTGTTTCCAGAAGGTTCTGCCAGCTGACAGGAAGGATCTGGAAGGAAAAAATGGGGTCAGTGGTACTTACCTGAGAGAACTGCTTTGAAGATGGATAATCTGTGCTAATCTGTGGCAGGGTCAACTAAACTGAGCCTCTTGTTAATCCTAGGAGGCAGGTGCCCTTGTTCTCCTTTGACAGATGAGGAAACCAAGGCACAGAGAGGTTAAGTTTCTTGCTCCAGTGAAATGACAGAGCTGGGATTCAAACCCAACTGCCCAGCTCTGGAGCCCATGCTCTCTATCCTCTTCTGTGTGGTGCCTGGCACACAGAAGATGTGCAGCATGGGGGATTTGGCCTGTTAGTCCCACCTGGGCTGTGTAGGTTCAGCCTGTTAGGCATGGCAGCATCTGGAAGAGAAGACAGAACCTTGATCATGAAAAATCAGACCTTCAAAAGTCTTTGCAGGCTTCCTGGGAAAGGGTTTATGCCCAGAAAGGACCTCCCAAATCCTGGTCCAGTGCCTTCCCCTGATGAACCCTGTGGGGTATATGTGAACCTGAGGTGTGGGGCTCCAGGCAGCACCGTGGCAGCAGAAGCCTTTGTCAGGAGTCTGCCTGTGACTTCTGCTCCCTCCTTGGTACAGTAGGGATGACAGCCACACCATCCGTGCCCAGCCCAAGGCTGGCTACTTTGCGAGGCGGCATGGGGCCACCATGGCTGTGCCAATGTTTCCATCTTCACGCACGGCCCAAGGAGCACACGCCACACACCACATGTTCCCCTGGACAGTGGCCCCATGATGACACCCTTTTTGTGGGAAACATACCCATTTATCCAGCAATCACAGAAACAGCCCTAGAGGTTACCATAGCTCACTCCTGCAACACCCCTCTTAGGCCACTATGTCCTCCCAGTCCACAGAAGAGGAAAACGCAGCTCCTAGAGGTTAGGTGAGTTGCCTAACAGAGCTAGTGAGTGGCCGAGCAATCAAAGCCCAGCTGCTCTGTCTCCACTGGAGGGAGGGTGAGGCAGTCAGCCCCAATTACACCTGCAGTAGGCCAGGGACAATGCTAAGCCCTTCTGTAAGCCACCTCCTCACTCCTCAGCAAACCGCAGGAGTGGGTACCTCTGTTGTCCCCATTTTCCAGAGGAGGAAACTAAGACCCAGGGAGGTCAGTTCATCATGCAGAACAGAGCTCTAAGTAACAGCACAGAGGCCCAGATCTTGGTCTCAATGTCTCTGTGGCCTGCAGTGTCCACCCATGCAGTTGGGAGAGGCCAAGCCAGGCGCCCGGACCCTGGCAGTCCCTCTCAGACCGTTCTTCTCCTCTCCAATCACATAGAAATTCCGGAAGTTGACCATCCCCAGCGCTGATCTGAAAATGCGGGGCAAGCTTGGGGCAGGCCCACGGACGGTGATGGTTAATGACTGTGACGCCAAACTCAAGGGCGATGGGACCATTGCAGCCATCACAGAGAAGGAGACACACTTCTGAGACACACCTGCCACCTCGGATGCCTCTCCTTCCTTCCCTCCCCGACCCCGTGTGTATAAATGAATACCTGAGACACATACTTCCCCTAATGATAGAGGCTTGCTCGTTTTGCACAGGATTTATTAACAAGTTAATTTTAAGGTGGCCGTGTACACTCTGGTTTAAAGTCCCATTCCCCTCCTTGCCCCCAGTTATCATGTAAGTAACATTATGAAGAGATAATACTGTACAGGGACTAGCAGAATCTTCCATGCTAGGACGGTTTTAACCAGTGTTTTCTAAGGGTTAGGGAGAAGGTGTATCATATGGTCAAACTTTTATACTTGGGCTGTGGGGCAGGTGGGGTGGGAGTGATGCCTGATCTCTGTCAGCCTTTTAGCTGACCGCTTCATGTCCCATGTTCCTCCCTGACCATTGCAGCCCCTCCTCCATGCCCCCGGGGAGGGCTTTGCCTTCAAATCCTGCCTTTGCCATCCCCAACCTCTTAGCAGTGGGTTTGCAGACAGCAAGGATGTGTCAGAGAAGAGAGTGATCTTTCTGCCCTGATCCCACTAAGTGACCTTGGGTGCTCCCATCCCCTCCCTGGGCCTCAGTTTCCCTGTTTCCCAAATGGGGAGGGCTGGATCAAGTGATCTCTGAGGTCCTTGCTGACCTGGGCAGGTCTCTTGGGGATTGTGTTGGTATGGCTTGTTGGGTGGTGGCTGCTGGCCGGCAGGCCTGACCTTGACCTTTAATTGTTCTGAGGGCTCCCCCTGCTTATTTAAAATCAAGTTTGTCATGGAAATGATGTGGTGTTTTCCCCTTAAACTCCAGGTTGATGCATCTGTGAGTGGCTCCATTCTCTGGAGTCTGGCCAGGTCCTCAGCCCCCGTGACAGGGCTCCTCCTGTCCTGTCCATCTGCTCTTCCTGTCATGTCTGTCTCTCTATCTTCATGGGGCTGGCTGGAGTCACCTGCACACTGGTTTTCGGGGTCAGGAAGCAGCTGCCATTCCGTTGCAGCTGTCTGTCCTGCCGTTGCCGCTGCCCCGGCCACCATCTGTGTCTAGGACCTTCTACCAGCTTCCCAGGGGAAGGAACCCCAGTAGGGCCTGGAGCCTGGTTTTGTCCCCTGGCCCCTTCTTCATCTGCCTGCCACCTCTTCTCTCTCTTACCGTCCTCCGCCCTCCTCTCTCTCCTGCTTTCCTGCTACCTCTTAGTCCTTCCCATCCTTCTTCTTATCACCAGCAGAACCTTCTCTCCCTACCCCTTTTTTGGGAGCCATCCTACCTGCATTACCTGCATCTCTCGCCAGGGGGGCTGAGAAGCCTCAGCACTTATACTGGAGGGAAGAACCGGGCTCCCACCCCTCCCTCTGTGCAGGCCGGGGGCTGGTGGGGGCGAGCCCGGTGCTGCCTCAGACCTCTCTGCCTGACTTCTCTCTCTCATCAGATTTCATCAGCCCTTTGTCTTAGATTCAGAGTTATTTGGGGACAGGGAAGGTGCGTTCTTTATCCTTTTCCTTTATGTCCCCAGTTTTATTTGGTGGAAACAGGAGCTTTCTCCAAACCAAGGCTTTAGTTTCCTGTAAGGAACCCACATGTTTGATTCACCTGAAACTTTCCAAACTGACAGCTTCTCTGGTCTGGCCAGCCCCCATCTGAAGACTGAGTTTGCTAGAAGGGATGCCCAGTGCCCCCCTCCCCCGCCAGGCGGGCTGGGATGCCTGGTTCTGGTCCCCCTTTTGCACACACTGCCCAGGCCTGCCTGGCTCTCCCTGAGCTGTCGGACCTGGTGGACCCAGGAAGTGGACCCAGGAGGATCGGGCCTCATGCTGAGCCTTCTGCTGTATCTGTCCATGTCTACTCTTCTCCCACCAGGTCCTGGGGAGGAAGACTCCCCACTGCTGCTGCTACCGGTTCTCCACCTACAGCTCTGAAGCCTCGCTAGGGACGGGATGCACTGCGTTGTATCTGTGGCACTTAACATTTCACTCACTTAACACTACTCATGGGGCAGGGCGGAGGGAGGGCTTTTGCTCTTGGTTTTTTGTAATTTCCTACTAGTATTTGGGCAACTTGGGGCGGGACGGGGAGGGAAACGTGGGGGCAGGGGAAATGTCATTATGGTGACTTTTTTGATATTCATTAGAAACAATACATCCTTTCTGAGATATTTACAGAATTATTAAAAAATGAAAAAGGTTGTACTGTTTTACATAATGAACGTTTTTATTGGGTATTCAAAGGGCACACGATTGTCTGCTTACTCATTTTTAAAAATTAAAGGAATGAACAAACTATATGTGGCGGTTCCTAGCAGAGTGGTGTTCTTGAGTTGTCCCTGTGTTTTATCACCTGCATGATATACCTGCAAAATCTTCTTGGTTCCATCCTTGGAAGTTGCAGTTTCAACTCAGGATTACAAATTAGAAGCACCCAGGGGTGTTTCAGGAGCCCATACTTCCTTTCCTTCCATGTGCTCAGCATACATGGAATGTCTGCTATGTTGTAGGTAGGTGCTCTACAGAAGTTGTCTCTTCACTCTTCAAAACAATCCCATAAAGCAGGCACCTCCCCACTTTACATATTACTTCCCCCACTTTGCAGATGGGAATGATTGAGGCACATAGGTCTGTCTGAACTCAAAGCCCAGTCACTCAATCACTCTGCCTTACTGTGTCTCATGCTGTGAGGCCCAAAGAAGGCAGCAGCTGCCTCGTCATGGCTGTGGTGGCTGCTGCAAAGCTCATGGGCTTGCCCTGCTAGGCAGACCTGCATGTCTGAGGCAGACAAGGTGGGGTGGAAAGACATGGAGATTGGAAGCGTGCAGTCCTGGTTTGGGCTCCAGGATCTGCCCTTGCCAGCCTCAATTCTCTCATCTCTACGAAGAAGATAGTAGCTCCTGTTTCAAACTCGGGGTGATTATGAAGATCCCATGAGCTCAGTAGGATTGGTAGAGCTTTGTATTCACACTGGTTATTATCATCCTGAATGAATAGTGCCCAGGCTCTAAAAGTGTAGCATTGCTTAGAACTTAGGCAAAAATCTCTAAATCTGCATCTGGGATTTCCAAAGAGTTACTTGGGACCACAGAGCATGTTTTGTCCTGCCAGTCCATGGAATGGAACCATCTTCTACGTGCAGCGTCTGCTCATTCCTGTGTGGTTGACTCTTCTACTTCAAATCCCTGATCTCAGGATCCCACCGGAAACTGTCTTGGCCTCTCGTGCTCTCTGAGGTGGTAACATCTGCTCATAGGGAAGGCGTCCCACAGAGTTCCAGGTTCAGAAAATCTCAGACCCCAGAGGGTCCCTGAGAACTTCATAACTTCATAAAGCCATGGGGATTGGTCACCTGTCCGCCACTATTCCCTCCTGTGTCTAAAAGTGGTACAAAGCATCAAGACAAAGAGGCTGGGTCACAGAAATGTGGGTCTCCCTCATTCCCAGGAAATCTGATTGGTGGACGCATAAGCTTACAGAATTGGTAACCTATGGCATTTTTTAAAGCAGTAGACCCTGTACGCTTCAGTATGTGCTAGTGACCCTGCTGGCCAGATATGACTCTGCAGCCCAGCTCTATTAGGCACTGCAAATAACCAGAGCAGAGGGGAGCCTTGGAAGTGAAGTCAAAGGCTGCTTCAGACCTAGGAGATTTTCCTCTGATTTTGGGCGGGGTGCGGGAGGAATGGAAATCAGGCACCAAAGAGCTGACACTTTCTGCAGATGGCTGCAAATTTTGAAAAAGGTCATGCATTCAGCAGGCTTTTACTGCTTACCCATCATCCTTCATGCCTGGACCTAGAACTAAGGATATTGAGACAGGTGGAACAGTCCCTTTCCTTGAGTGTTTTTGCTCTTCTAGGTCAAGAGGACAGGTGTCTACACTCCTCTGGACAGGCGTAAATGTGTGCAGAAGCCATTCTTCCTTCCTAGTCTCGGCCTTCTCCAGCCAGTTTGAGCTCTGCAGTGTGGCCCTGGGCAAGTCTGTCCACTTTTCTGGGCCTCAGCTTAGCCATTGGGAGGAAGGTGAAGAAAATGAGACCCAGGGAAGAAACATAGCTGGCTCAAGATTCCCCTAGAAGCCCTCGCATCTTCTCAGGCTGTTAAAAATCAAATGGGTCCTTGACCTGGGCACCTTGCTACCCATTAGGGAGCAAAGTCAATCTGTTGCCAGCTCTTGGCCTTCTCTGCCTCTCACTTCTGAATAAGATTCACTTTGTGGGGGCGGATACACAGGCACTTTTCTCAGAGCTTCTGGGCCAGCTGATGTGTCAGAACCACCTCCATGAGAAACTACGGGGCAGAATGTGCCAGGGACCGACTGCTCAGGGAGTGCCAAGCAGAGGGAAAGAACTGTTTACTGAGCACCTACTATGTTCCAGGTGTCACACCTGCATTACCTCATCAGAGCCTTATGACAAATCTAAGAGGAAAGTGTTATTAATCCCATTTTTCATATGGAGGAACTAAAGTTTAGAGACTAAATAATTTGTCCCCCCAAAATACGATATACTTCCTGGAAGGTGGAGAAGCTGGGCTGGACCAAGGTTTGCTGGGTCTAAATAGAGCCCAGGTACCCAACCACCTAACCAAGGATGTGGGACTTGAGCTGCACCTTGAGGGATGGGAAGATTTCACCAAGCAGGGAAGAGCATTTGAGATGAGGGAATGGCCTGAGCAAAGGTAGAGGCAGAAAAACGTTTTTGGGCAAACATGGTGGAAACTAGAATCCTCTCCATCCCTGGTCTGCTTTTACAACTCCTTATGCAACTTCACCAGCTGTGAAGGTGGCCCCTCCCCATTTTCTCAGAGCGAGGGGGTTAGGTAACACCGTGCCCATCAGGGATGGCATCTAGTGTAAGTCATGGCACAGAGTGGGTGCTCCACAGCACAGGGCCTTCAACGAACAGGTGCTTGGCTTGCCCTGGAGTGGGGAGCCATGGGAAAGGGAATCAACAGGCTCTGAAGACCCACTCAGTGCTGAAAACCATGATGAGTCCCTTCTTGCGTATTATCTTGCCCCCAATCACCTTGTGGATTGGCAAGGTGTTCATATTCTCCCAATAAAGAAATAGGCTCAGAGAAGTAGAATCAGCTGCCCAAGGTCCCAGAGCTGGTTAATAGCAGAGCTGTGGTAGCGGCCCCATGGGGTTCTGGCTCCAAGGCCCATGCACTTTCCACAGACCACTTTTGGGAGCCTCCAAGGGCCACCACAGCCATCAGCACTGATGAATCACTACAGGCTGTGGAGAAACAGATGGTGGAGGCCAGGTGGAGAAGGTCAGAAAGTCTCTAGGAGCTTTGAATAATCTTTTGGACACTAGGGACCTCTGGAAGCCTCCTTGGTATCCCAGAAATGATAGAAGGTCCCCAGGGCTCACTGAGATGGACAAAGGGATGTTTGAGAGTGGAAAGGACTGTGGGAACCCTGGAGACCTGCGGGAGAGACTGAGAGGTCCTGAGTGAGGGGCCAGAATTACGTGGAGTCATCAGTGAGACAGAGCCCTTGAGGAGTTATGAAGAGTTGAGCGTACTGGAGGGTGGGTATGGGAGCTCTAGGGGACCGTTGGGAAAAATGAAAGATTGTTGGGGAGGCACTTCAGAGTTGCTGGGGGCCATCAAGAGCTGTAAAAATATATCAGAGCCCTTGGTCATTACTGGGGGGCACTGGAGCCATGCAGAGTTCCGGGGGTACTTAGGGTCACTGTGGGAAGCAAGTATCTGAGGAGTACCCTGCAGGATGTAGCCTTGAAGAAAGTGAAAGAGGGGAGGAGGGGAGCTTGGAAATGCTGTTAGAAGTTTTGCATGGACAGTGGAGCTGAGGTGAATGGGAATAAGCACCCGGAGGGCCTGCCTGACAGCGATGGGGAGGCCCAGCCCGCGCTGCAAACCTCAGGAGGCAGCAGGCAAGTTGCTCCTGGGCACAGGACTCCATGACCTTGACCTCACAAGAGTGGAGCAGTCTTGGCTTTTCTGGAGATCCCACACCTGGGTGTGCCAACCAGCCAACGCTTGGCTTTTCTTATTCTCCGTGGAATTTCCTCTACCTTCCTTTTGAGTATCTTTCCAAAGCCAACCATTTCTGGAATGAGCAGGCTCTGGGAGCCCAGTCTGAGCAGGAGCTTGGGCCCAGTAGAGAGGTCTCGGCCTGATCTGTGGATGGTGGAGAGACGGGACAGAGGAAATAGTAGAGCACAGGCAAGTATCATTGATCACCTAAAGTATCATTTATTCAGTACCTGCCATGCACCTGGGGTAGGTTCGGGTATTTTCCATAATGAACACAACCGCTGCAACTCTCATTTATTCCCATTTTACAGACATGGAAACAGGCTCAGAGAGGTAAGGGAGGAACTTACGCGAGGTCACATAGACTGAGCTGGAATTCAAAGCCAAGTCTATCAAACCCAGAGTCCTTGTTTTTTTCTCTGTACCAGGTGGCTATTGGGGTGGCCCCGGGGCCTCTAGCAGGGAAAATTGGGCCCTGGGCCTGCCTCCCCTCATCTCAGCCCCCCCACCTGGAGTCCTGGGCTCAGGCAGACTCTGGTGGCAGCATGTTAGCCACCAGGTGGCGCTGCTGCTAAACCCAAGCCCCCTCTCCACGGTCCGGACTCAGAGTAGTGAGGCCTGGATTGGAGCTGGGACTACAGCGTCCAGAGGCCCCTCCCTAGGTGCCCAGATGAGGGACAAAGAGGCTGCCCTTGACAAAAGGATGCAATTCACCCTTCTCACCCTGCCCTATCCCTTGCTCCTGTTTGAAGCATTACCCCAACAGCCAGACACACCTGCTTTCAGTTCTCAACTTCCCCACTAGTGGCCGTGTGGCCTTAAGCAAGTGACTTCACTCTCGGACTGCGGTTTCCTCATCTGTGCAAATGGACAGAATAGAGCCCTTCTGGCAGGGACGTTGAGAGAATTAAAAGAGGCAATAATTCTATGTGGCTGACACAGAATCTTGTTCTTCTATGTCACTCTTCTCAGGACAGCCGTCAGAAGGGCCCCCACCAGCATCAGGAGACCCTTGGCCTAGTTCTCAACTCTCTGTCTGCCTTGGACAAAGTCACTTTGCCTCCTTCGGCCTCAGTTTCCTCATCTGCAAAATGGGGCTAATCACAGGAATTCTCTCATTTGGTTATTCTGAGAATTAAACCAGACAGTGGCTCTATGATGTTTGTTTTATAGGGCTCCAAATGAACAGGAAAAATGATTAGTGAAAATATTCATGTTCCCAGGGGTCGTAGTTAGGTGAATATGCAATGGTGATAAGGTATAAGGAGGGCAGGGCAGCCCCTCGGTGACTGACTGGGCGTGTGGGCCAGGCTGTAGATTCTGCCCTGACCGCGTATCAGCAATTACACGGGCCCCGTCAGCCAGGCGCCACCTTGTACCTGCCCAGCCTCCCCCCAGTCCCTACCTTCCTCTATCGTCCTCAGCTCCTGCCCCCAACAACACACTGGGACACAAAAATATAGAACAGAGATGAGAAGGCTAAACGCTGAAATATAGGGGATGATTATCTCTGGATGATAAAGTTTGGGCTGATTTTTATTTTCTCCTTTTTTTCTGTATCATCCAATTTTTCTTTAACAAAGAATTTTTATATTCCAAAAAAATGAAATCAATAAAACTATTTTTTAAAATCCTCTCCTCACCACTTAGAGGTTGGTTACAAATGAAGACCCGGGGGGAAGGAGAAATGATTCTGATATGGTTTGGAAGAAATGATGAGTGGGAGGAGGGAGGGGCTGTGTCGCCACTGCAGACAGTCCTTCGGTCCTCAGGATCCGGCCTCCCCTGGGGGATTCTGGGCCTCAGAACGAGGGAGAAGCAAACGGAGCAGGACCCCTCCTCTGGGCCACATATTCTCCACATTTCTGGGCAGTCCGGGCGTTCCAACATCTTCAGGCGTTGCAGGGAGCTCTTGCAGCTGTTTGAGGAGAGAAGAAAGCAGACATGCAAGGCAGTCACCCTTGGTTGAGGGCTGACTATGTGCTAATTACTGCCTCTCCTTTTATCTCATCAGACCCCTCCCATCCTACCTACACATGCCCATTGAGGGAGTTGGGACTATTAGCCCAATTTACGGATGAGGAAACCAAGGTATGAACTCGTATATCTGACTGTCTTCTGGGTATCTTCTTTTGGGTGTCTGTTGGGGCCTCTCAACTCCATTTTCCCAATTAAATGCATCTCCTCTAACCCCCATGCCCCCCAGTCTGTCCCTCCTAGTCTCAATAAATGATACCATCATTCAACAACTTCCTTCATTCAGCAAATATGATTAAGCAATCACTATGACTCTGCCCTCAAGGAGCTTACATTCTAGTGGGTGGAAAAATAATGAACATTTTTTAAAGTAAACATATATAGTATACCAGAAGATAATAAATGATCTGGCTAAAAATAAAGGAGCAGGGGTATAGGGAGGAACAGGGAGTATGGGTTAGGTTTGGAATTTTAAATAGGATGGTGAGGGAAAGCCTCACTGAGAAGGCAAGGAAAGGACAGAGCCTGTGACTGTCTGGGGAAGAGCGTTCCAGGCAAAGGAAGCAGCATGGGCAAAGGCCCTGGGCTGAGAGCTTCTCCGCAGTGTTCCCAGAGAAGCTAGGAGACCCTGGTGGCTGAAGCAAAGTGAGCAAGGGGAAAGTTTAAAAAGTGAGGTGGGGGGGCAGGTGACAAAGAACCTGGGAGGCTGGTGTGGGTGTGAGATGAGGGTTTTGAGCAGAAGGATGTAACCTGATTTCTGTTTTAATAAGACCTTCTGGCTACAGTGGTGGGCTTGGGTGGAAGCAAGGAGACCAGTAGCAGGCTGTTAAAATCCAGGTGAAAGATGATGCTGGCTGGACCAGAGGAGACAGAAAAGGGCAGACATGATCAGATTCTGGGCACATTTTGAAGGTAAACTCACAGGATTTCCTAGTGGATTAGAAGTGGGGTATGAGAGGAATCAGGGATGACTGAAGTGTAGGGCTAGCTAGTCAAGTGAGAAATCCTCCTCGCTCCCCACATTCAATCAGTCAGTGAGTTTCCTTGGTTCTTCCTCCTCAAAATCTCTCAAATCCACCCATTTTCCTCTGTCTCAGCCACTGCCCTGGACCATCCACCATCACCTGGACCACTGCTGTGGCCTCCTGCCTGGCCTGCCTGCACATCTCTCATGTATTCTCTTCTTATGATAAAGCACTTCACACTTTGTGCTCCTGGCTGGGTAGGCCTGAGCCAGAGTGCTTCCCACCTCACTCACAGCCTGTCAGAGAACTTTCCTTCTGCCTGAGAGTTACCACCCCAAAAGGAAATCAGGGGGGCACTGGTACCAACAGAAGAGGGAAAGATGCTGGATTACCAAAAACCCCAAAAAGTCTGCCACCCAGCCATACCCACCCAGTTCCATGATAACTAAGCATCAATCAAGGGGTAGAGGATGGAGGCCCCAGAGTTAGTAGGGAAGGCTTCCTGGAGGTGGTAGCAGGGGATGGGTCTTTGAAGAAGCTCAGAGCCAAGTGATTTCAAGTGGAGGGCTCTGGCATTTCACAGATGTGGGTTTGGATCCTGGTTCTACCACTCACACACCCTCTGGGTGAGACCTTCAGCATGTCCCTTCATTTCTCTGAGCCTCAATTTGCCTCATCTGCAAATTGGGACCAATAATCCTCAAACCTAGAGATTTTTGCAAGATCTGGGAATTTCATTAGGGTATTGGCTTATCCTAAGATAATGTCCTCTAGGGCCTGATGGTGCCCCCCACCCCATAAAAGGAATAGGCACAAGATTTGGAGTCAGACAGACTCAATTCCCACCCCAGCTCTACCACTTACCAGCCCAGTGACCTAGGGCAAAGCCCCACCATCTCTGAGCCTCCATTCCTCCCCCTGCAAAATGAAAGCAGGGGGAAAAATGGAAGCTGTCCATGCACCCAACACATAGTAGGTGCCCAGCCAAGGTGCTAGAGAGTTTGGACTTCACCCTGGAGGCAGCTGGCCCCACTGCATGAACGCCCCCCCTTCCTGGGCCAGGGCAGCTGCAGCCCCCATGCAGTGTTTTTTATCTCCAAGCTGCAGTGGGCTCGAAGAGCTCGGCAGAGTCCCTGGACAAAGGGCTGTTTTTCCCGCGGATCTAAAATTGCCTCCCTCTGATTGCCGCTATACAAACCCAGGCGGCTGCTCGCTTCCCCCATCCAGTTGGGTCTATTTCAAGAACACGCTGATTAGCGCTGATTGCGCCTTGATTATGGAGAGCGCATCACTCAGCCCCCTCCCCAGGCTCTGTGGGGAGTACATGCTCCCACACCCACCCACCACCTCCCCCAGTGAGTGGTGCAGCCTCCCCGGGTTGGGGTCTTCATTCTGCCTCTACCGTCCCTGGGACTTGGTGCAGGTCACTTCCCTCTCCCTGGCCTCTATTTACTCCACTGCAAAAGTCGCCTGTATTAAAAAAGGCGCCAAACAAAATTGTGCCCAGGGAAATGTGGCCTTAATGGTGGGCTTTTAGACATTGTGATAGGTCACGAGGGGGGAGGATAGGGTTTGGGCCAGGGGAAGCAACTCTTCAAAACACCCCCATCACACACATATGCACGTGCGTGCGCACACGCACACACACACACACACACAGATTGCTCCTGCCTCTGCCTGTATGTACTTGAGGCTGCCCTTGGCAGGGTGGGATTGAACTTTAATAATCAGAGCTTCCCTTTACTGAGCACATGCAGGTGCCTTGGGCACATTAGCAGGTGCAAACGCCACAACTATTTTTTTGAAGCACGTATTTTGTGTCCATGTACAGGTGAGGACCCGGAGGGCTAACAGAGGTGATGTGAATTGCCCAGCATCACCCAACTACAGAAAGGCGAAGACAGAATTTGAACCAAGGTCATTGTGAAGGAAAGCCTGTGTTTCTCACCATCCCACAGCATGCTCCGGATTCTTCACCAGACTGAAAGGACACCACAAATGGGCATTGTGTATCAGATGCCTCTTGCTAGTTATTTCTACTCTCCCAGTCCTGTGTGGTCCTCAAAAAGTATTTTCCCCTCCCGGGACCTGTGTTTTCCTCTGTACAATAGGGCGTGGGCTCAGGGTGGCCCAACCCTAAGCCGTTGCCCGTGGCAGATGGACTGATTCTTGGAATAACCCAGAAGCACGTGTTTAAGATGCAGATTCCGGACCTCATCCTTAGAGATCTGAAATCAAACGTCCCAGGGTGGGCCCAGGAATCAGTATTTTGAGACACTAACCAGTGAGGGCCAGTGGTTCTGACATCAGTCAATTCTGCCCCAAATTCCCTCTCCCCACCAGCCCCATCCCTACACAAGAGCTGTCTGTTCTACTCTCTAATGGGTCTGCAATCTGGCTTCTTCCCCATACCCCTGTTGCTCCCTGCTCCCGCCCAAGCCCCCATTATCTTGTGCCCAGACCACTGCAGCAGCCTCTTCCCTGGACTCCCTGCTGCCGTTCTGACCCTCTTTGGTCCATTTTTTATGCAAAAGACTAAAGGATATTCTTGAAATGCAAATCTGAATGCCAACACCAACACCACCAGCTAATCCCCCTGCCCCCAGCTTCAACCACCATTGCTCCCCATTGCTCCAGGGATAAAGACTAAACCCCACACTTTGCCTAGAAGACCCTGCAGGGAAAGCCCCCTGCTCCCTCTCCAGATTCATTTTACGTCACCAAACCCCTCCTTGCAGCCCCCTGGGCTTCTTTCAGATTTCAAATCTCAACCCACTGTGTGCCTGTCCAGCAGAGAGGGCCTTTGCATTGCTGTTCCTTCTTCTTGGAGCACGTTTTCTCCTTTCTTTTTCTAGTTAACTCCGCTCATTCATTATATACAGCTCAAACCTCACTTCCTAGAACTATTCTGGGAGGGATTAGGCTACCCTGGGGGGAATAAGCTCCCCATGCAGGGAAGCATACAAGAAGATTCTGCTGATTTACTTGGAAAGAAGTCGTGGAGAAGATATTTGCTATGAGTCTGAGCCCTAGATCCTTCTCCCTACCTAGGAGAGCCTGTGGTTCTCTAGGACAAGGGAGCCCTGCCCTCGCTGGGTGTGGGGAGCTGAGGGGACAGAGGAAACCAGAACCCCAAGGAGCCTAAGCAGAGGCTGGTTGGCAGCTGTGGGGTCTCCAGGACTCTGACAACAAGACTGGAATTCTCAGATTTTCCACTCGGCCCCTGGGTCCTGGGCAGCGCTGGGAAGTAGAACAATCTACCCCTGACTCCTGGTTGGTGAGCACTTGTGATTTCACGGGGGATTAGCTCCTCTCCTATCTACTACCCTGAGACCCCTTCTCTCTCCAGCAACACCCATCCTTCTCCCCATCCTCCTCTCTTCAACAGCTCATCTCCCCTCCTCCCTCCTCCCCCTTCCTAGTGCTCTCTCTTCTTCCTCACCCCACTCTCACAGGTGGCTCTCTCCTCTGCACACTCCCACTGCCCCCTCTCCCCGTCCCATCCTTTTGTACCCTTCCCTGTCTCACTACCTGGTCCCTGTTGGTCTCCCTCTCTGCAGCTCCTCCTACTCCCATCTGTTTGCCAGGCTAGGGACCTCTGTCCACCTGGGCCAGGGTGCCAGGGAGGGCTGCAAGCGCCAGGCCGGACCAAGATGTTTCTACAAATAGCCTGAGGAACGGCCTCCCTATGGACAGGACAGGCAGGATACTTGACCTGCTGTCCTTTGCTATTATTCCGGGACTTCAAAGCCCCCTCCACCACTGTTAGGGGATGGGCTCCAAAGTCACAATCTTGAGGAAGAGGAAGAGGGAGACACAAGCCCTCAAAAGCCCTCCCCTGATGTCCCTGTGCAGAGCAGAGGGGTCTTGGGGGCAGGGAGGAGGCCCAGCTGGTAGGAGGAGGGCACAGAACAAAAAGGAATGTAGGGAAGGCCTTGTCAGGTTGGGGTTTAAGAACACAGGCTCTGGAGTCATACATGCCTGGGTTCAAATCCTGATTCTGCCACTTCCTGGCTGTGTGACCCTGGGCTAGTGACCTGACCTCTCTGAGCCTCAGTTTCCCCATCTGTGAAATGGGGATAAAGCTAGTTCCTGCACCCCAGGGTTGTTGTGAGGATTCCATGAGCTAATGTTTGCAAATGTAGCACCAGGCCCGACACACTGTGGGTGCTCAGTAACTTTAATAGGTGACTAGGGACAGAGCATGGTCTCAGGCTTGACATCTGGGGTGGGCGGGGACATCTGAGCCAGTCTCTGAGTTTTTAGATGAGTCTTCAGAGGGAGGAGGCAGGTTCCAGGGTTAAGACTGCAAGGCACCTTCCCACCCATCACCCTCATAACCCAATGCCTCCACCAGTTTGGGACGATTCTCTCTCCCGCGTTAGACGCGAAGAAACTGAGGGTGAGCCCACCTGCCCTAAGCCTTTCAGTGTGTCTCCTGTAGCCAGGGCTGGAACTCAGCTGGGTGGCCCCGCAAGACCGGTCTCCCTCCGTTCCTTGGTGCTGGGCCTCAGGGCTGCGGACTCTCATGGGGCTGGCATGGGATGTTCGAGACCCATGCCTGGGGTGTGGGAGATAGGCCAGATGTTTGCCCAGATTCTGGGATTGTGCAGACCCCTCCAATTCCCCCCATCCACCCACCCCCATTGCTAGGCAACAACTGCTCATCACCGAGGGTACAAGTGGAGGGAGGCTGAGCAGCTTGCTTTGTCCTTCATGGAGAGGCCAGGGGAAGCTGTTTCCAGGGCGGGCCTAGTGAGAATCTGTGCCTCAGAGTTGTACAAGGACTCGCCCAAGCCCACTAGCTATGAGGCTTAACATCCCAGCACCCAAATGTCAGAGCTGGTAAGACCCTTAGAAAGTCAGCTCTTACACAGCACATGCACTGTCACCCCTCAATGCCTCAGCCAGGACAGACATTGCTAATCGATGACCGTACTTCTTCCACTGAGCCCAGCCTTAGCGTCAGAATTCTCCACACCGTAGTCAGGCAAGTCTGACAATGGGTCAGAACTGGCATGCAAGATAAACCTTTTTCTCATCTCTCCCCTGTTCCTATGATCTCATTTGACAGATAGGGAAACAGAGGCCCTGAGAAATGTGGTGGAACAAAATGCACATTGGGCTTGGGCATCAGAACTTCAGGACCTAGCTCCGTGCTGTCTTGCTGTGTGACTGTGGGCAAGCCGCTATGCCTCTCTGAACCTCAGACTCTACTGTACATAGCATGGGTTTGATGAAAGCAAGCCTTCCCTGTAGAAATTAAATGTGGGAGTGGTTGCAAGCATCCCTGGGAATGTCAGACACGGAAGTGGCACTCAAGGGATTTTCGACCCCATCCTTCCTTTCTTGTCTGTCTCCTCTAGGTCTTGGCAGTCGCATCCTCCATCCCCAGGACACACCTTCCTCTGTTCCAACTTAGCCAGCAGCTCCATTCCTGGAGGGGCAGATGTTTGCCCAACAAATGGGTTTAACTGCGAGGCATTGGGGGAGGGGTCAGAACTGGAGCTCACCAGATCCTTGGTTAGCTGGAGAGGGAAGGAAAAGATGGCCACCCAAGAGGGTAGGGAACAGGTATCAGGCTGGGGAGGGTGAACGGTTGCCTGGCAACTGCTGGGCTTCAGCTGAGCATCTCACTGGCTTAGGTGGTTTTGAGGCTGCAACCTTCTCCCCTTCCCTAGACTCAGATCCCCTCCCTAGTTCTGCCTCCTCGTGGCTGCTGGAGGAGGGCCTGGCAGGCTCCCCGTCCACACACCACACACCACACATACCGCATATCACACACACACCACACCACACACATACCATACACACACCATACACACACAACACATTACCACACACACGACACACACATACCACACACACAACACATATCACCACACACCACACACCAAACACATACCACACACACAACATATAGACATACCACATACACCACCCACATACCACACACCACATGCCATGCACACACACCCCACATACCAGACCACACACACCACATACCACACACCACACTGCATACATACTGCACACACCACATACTACATACATACCACACACATCAAAAACCACACACACCATACCACACATCACACACACTATGGACCACACATACCATATACTACATACCACACACACACCACACATATCACACACATCTTAAGTGAGCTCATTCAACCCCATGACACAGGGAGAGTCACTGGCCACAGAGCCAGGCACATGCCACTGAGCCACCAGGTCTCAGCTCCTCTGATCCATGCAGGACTCACAGAGGACCAACACACAACCAACCCCAGGTCTTGCAACCCCTTCTACAGCTGCCCTCACAGGGAAGGGCTGAGCCCCTCACATGGGTGCTCATCAAACCCACGGTCATCCCAGTCTCCCAGCCAGGGCTCCCCGAAGGCAAGGTCTTGGCTTGGGTAGCCCTGTTCGCCCAGAGCACACAGTAGGTGGTTTTAGTGTTCAATGAGCATGTGCTGAGTGAATGTCTGAACAAACAAGCATACCTGCTAGATTGTAACCTTCCTGAAAGCAGGAAGGGCTATGTCATAGCTCAAGTGCCAAACTGAGAGTAGGAAGACTGCGTTCTGTCCCTAGTGTGCCCCTGACTGACTATGCGACCTTGGGCAAGTCCCTCCCCTCCCCGGCCTCCATTTTCTCATCTGCCAATTGAGGAGTCAGAACAGATGCTCAGGTTCTGCAATTCAGAGCATCCAAGGATGCGGTTTATAATTTGCAAGACCTGCCCTTCTGGATGCATCTGGATTAGGAAGCAGCTGACATGGGAGAGGGCAGGGAGAGAGTCCCCCCTCCCCAGTGGGTTAGCTTGGGATCATCCCTTGCTAGGGACAGGCCCCTCTGTCCGAGTCAGGAAGGACATGGTGGCATTGTTTGCCACCGTGGAGCGGAGATGGGAATGAGAAGGGGGTTTTTGGAGAAGAATCATGCCGGAGGGAGCTTCCCGTAAACACAAGGGTGGGACTTGAAATGAGAATGTCTGGGGGAGATGTGCACACCCCCTCCACGTGCACACATGGGCACATACACACATACACAACACACTCCACACACATGTGTGTGCACACACACACTCTTTTCCCTGTGGAGCTGTTTTTTTCTCCCCTTGAAATGTCTCCCTGGTCTTCTTGATCTCATCTCAAACATGATCATTCCTGACCCAGCCAAGGAACATG